CACTTTGTTGGACAGCCATAATCTATCTATCATCTATCCCTCCCTCCCTCCGTTTCTCCCTCTATCTCCATCCATCCATCCTGGGTTGACTATCCCTGCTTTGAGACTCTCCTGATGACCAGGTTAGATGTCCAGTCTGAATCACAGGCCATCTTTATATAAAGTCTGCTGGGAAAGCACAGCGAGTAGCTTAATTGAAGCGGGGGGGGGGGGGACACACACAATCTCTTTTCTCAATACAATCCCATGAAATGAAATCACGTCTAATTATTTTTTTCATCCCGCATTGAGGCAACTCACCCTTCGTAGAGCAAAGCAATTGTGTAGCACAGAGCCACCACCATGGTCAGGACAAGACCCACTGGGCTGGCGTTCCTGATTTGAAAAGGCAGAAGAGAACAAAAGTTGGAAAGAAAAGAGAATATTGAGTCAGCAAGAGAGGAACCAAGGTCCCCCCCCCAGAGCTCTACCTTTATACTTGAGCTGGGAACTTGCCTGTCTGCAGCCAAACCAGGTCACCTGGCCAAAAGTTGCTCGTCTTTTTGCACAAAAAGAAGAATAGTGTTTTTTTTTTTAAATCCTGACCTAATTGAGTCATAGCTCAAACAAGTTGGGGTGGGGGGGAGTTGGCTGTTTTTGCTATATTAAATAATGAGATCCGGCTCACTGAAGATGGAGTTACAAGGATAAAGCTGGAGATTACACTGGTGTGTTAAGAGCTGAAGAAGCTGGATATGCAAAACCAGGAGCAGAGAGTTGCCAGAACTGAGCAGAAATCTCTCAAGATCCAGGGCAAAAATGTAGGCCAAGGTCAGAAGAGGCATGAGAAGGTACCGAAAGCTCAACAGGCTGAAATGGGTCCTCAAACAAGGCTACAGACCCATGGAATGAGTCTAAACCAGGGTCCAAAGAAGATTTTTAAATAATAATTAGCCATACTGGCAAAGTTTCACCAAGCCTGGCTTATAATCAATCTTCTGAAGCTTTATATACCTCTATCCATTTGTTTTCTAGATTTATATCCCAGCTTTATTTTATGCAACTCAAGGCAGCAAACAGAATACTCCCACTTCTATTTTCCTCCAATAACTACACTGTGAGGTGGGTTGGGCTGAGGAAAGGACTGGCCCAAAGTCCCTCAGTGCCCAAGGCAGGACTGGAACTCCTAGTCTCCCAGTTTCTAGTCCAGTAGCTCCATCACTAGTCCAAAGTGACTCTCCTATCCAAATGCATATTTGGTTTGGATCATGCCAGTTGAAGGACTTCTGTTCATCCATCCATCCATCCATCCATCCATCCATCCATCCATCCATCCATCCATCCATCCATCCATCCTATGTGACTGCAAGGGGCGGGGGAGTCAGATTGAT